GCTCCTGGCGGCCCCCCCCGCGCCCCCTACCCCATTCCGGCCCCCTCGGCGCTCCTCCTTTGTGTGGCTCCCCCTGCCGCGCCTGCCCATTCATTCCCGCCCCGCCCGGCCCGGCCCGGACTTACGCCCCAGCTTGAGCCCCGGGAAGGCGACCGTCGAGCTGGTCCCGCCTCCCCCCGGCCCAGGCCCGGCAGCCCCCCCGGGTTTGCCCCCAGGCGCTGCCCCCGAGGTTGGGCCGGGCGCGGTGGGGGCCGTGGCGGGAGCCCCGCCGGACGGGTCTGCGAAGGAGCTCGTTCGGGGCCGGGAAGAACCGGCGCTGCCGCTGCTCATGGTGAGGCCGACACCGGGGAAAAGGGGAGGGGGGGGGCCGCGCTGGCTGGCTCCGTCTGAGGCGGCTTGGGAGCCGGCCCTACCCGGCCCTGTTGCAAGAGCCGACGGGAAATGGAGTCTCGGGCGCGGCCCGCCTACTTATCTGTTACGGAAGAGAGGACTCGATTTCCCAGAAGGCGCCGCGCAGGGGACGGCCGTCAGCGCGGCGGCCGAAAGCGGCGATGGGACACAGAGTTCTCTCATTCCGCACCCTTCTGCAGCCGGCCGGGCTCGGGACTACAAGCCCCGGCGTGCCTAAGCCTTGAAGCGAGGGAAGGTGGGAAATGGAGTCTTAGTCTTCGTAGCGCGTAATTCGGAGGTGACGGGAGGGCACTCCGCTTCCCAGCATCCCTCGCGCGGACCTGGCCAGCCTATGGCACGAGAGGCAAGGGGACGTCTGAGGAGGGGGGGGGGAGGAAAGATTTGAGTTTGGCTCCGCCCAACCAGAGCAGGAAAAGGAATCATGAGGCGCGAGGCGAGCGCTCAGCCGCCTGAAGAAAAAGCCAAGAGACTTAACCTTTTGCCCATCGCCATTTCTTATCCATTACCCCCAAACTCAAAGGGATCCGCCTGGAGGGCTAAACAGGCTGTGCGGCGCGACGCACGGAGAGGGAAAACTTGCGGGGCTCCGGCAACTGCTTTTCCCGAAGTGCTTTGCGCAGGCCCCGTGACTCGGCCTGGCCTCAGGCTACCAGGAGCGGACTACGGGTCCCAGAGTGCATTGCGAGCAGAAAAGGCGTCGTTGGGTTGAGGGGCCTTGGGGCCGCCGAAGCACCGAGGAGTCGTGGAACCCTTCGCCGCCGCCGCGGCAGACGAGAAGCACGATACCCAACCAGGCTGCCGATACCTCCGGCCCAGAGGGCAGTCGGAGGAGCTCAGGCGGCCTTTCGGGCGCCCGGCGCGGCCCCGACACACTTCCCGTCATGCACCGCTCTGCCTTCGAGAGGACTTCTGGGAGTTGTAGTTTGCGCTACAGCTGGATAAAGGCCTCTGACTCAGAACCAGAATAACAGACTTGGAAGGGACCTTGTGGGTGGTCTAGTCTTGGAGGCAAAAATCAATAGCAATTAGGCATATTATACGTTTTTATTTTTTAACATATTTATCCCGCCAAACTGAAAGCGGAGCAGTATACAGGCAGTCCTCAACTTACGGCCACAACTGAGCCCAAAATTTATGTGGCTAAGTGAGAAGTCGGTTACGTGAGTTTTGCTCCATTTGACGACTTTTCTTGCCACATTTGGCAAGGGAATCACTGCAGTTGTTAAATCAGTAACACGGTTGTTAAATGAATCTGCTTTCCCCACTGACTTTGCTTGTCAGAAGGTCGCAGAAGAGGATCACGTGATTCCGGGACGCTGCAACTGTCATAAGTTCATGCCAGTTGCCAAGCATGTGAACGTAAATCATGTGACCACGGGGATGCTGCAACAGTCATAAATGTGAAAATTGGTCATCAGTCACTTTTTTCCGGGCCGTTGTAACTTTGAACGGTCACTAAGCAAACTGTTGTAAGTTGAGGACTACCTGTAGCTTTTCTTTGATTTATTTTGCAAGAACCCAGTGAAGTAGTAGATGGCAATGCTGGGTTGTCTATCAATCATTACATTTCATAGAGGAGTGGGAATTTAATCCAGGTTGTTTGTATCTTATGATTTATGATCAATAACTTATCACTTTGTTAGAATAGAATGGAAGAATAGAATAGAATAGAATAATAGAATAACAGTCTGTTCCATTGATTCATTTTCTCACTGTCAGGAAATTTCTCCTGTTGTTTGTATGTACACTGAGAACTTATGGACCAGAGACAGATTCCTTGTGTGTCCAGTCACACTTGGCCAATAAAGAATATTCCAATTCCTGGCTTTCATCCTAACTCGGTGCTTCTCAGTCTTCTCAGTTTCAAGATGAGTGAACGTCAACTCCCAAAATTCCCCAACCAGCAAAGTATAACTCTAGCTATAATCTCATAGCCTTTCCGCACTACTGTACAACAACCCTGTGGGGTGGGGTGGGGTGAGAGAGGGACTAGTCCAGGGGTAGGCAACCTTGGCTCTTTTATGACTGGTGGACTTCAACTCCCAGAATTCCTGAGCCAGCCACGCTGAGGAGAAAGGGAGAAGTTTCCATGCTGAGCCATGCTGGCTCAGGAATTCTGGGAGTTGAAGTCCACGAGTCCTAAAAGAGCCAAGGTTGCCTACCCCTGGACTAGTCCAAAAGTCCCCCAGCACACCCAAAGGAGGACTAAAATTCACCCTTTCCCGATTTATACCCCAGCATCTTAAAATGCTACAGCGTAAAGGCTCCCAGTTTCTTAGATTCCTATTTCACTAGATTTGTTTGGGTTGCCAGATTTGTTTGCAAAGTATATTTGATTACCTGAAACAACCTTTCCTGAAACACAGTTCGCACCTTTCCAGGTAAACAGTGACATACAAAGAGCTACCTGAGCTGCTCTTTCACGGAAGGAGAGCGCACCTATGTTGCCATGCCACAGAGGTGAAAGGAAGGCTATGGTTAGTTAAGAAACCAAGGGAACTGTCTAGTGCAAACTCAGAAAAGGGGGAAATTAATAACCAGGTTGGGTATTTTATGAAAGCCACCCCATATTTGGTGTACCGTCAACGCTTGTGTGTACTGTTTCCTGAGACTAATAAAAAAAAAAAACCTCTAGGGTACTCTGCTAGGGTGCATTTCGAGAAATTAGTTGCACTGACCTTTGAGCTGGTTCTTGATTGGCAATATCTAAAGGGTGGGGAATGAGTTTCTCACTTCCGACCTCTGGAAAGCTACACATAATCTCATATGTGTGAGTCAGTCCGGAAAATTCCTTATATGACCTCCATTATTGGAGGCAGAAGAGCCAAAGGTGAAAGCATTTAAGATATATGGACTTCAGCTCCTAGAATTCCTCAGCCAGACAAGTTAAAGCCTATACATTTTAAAAATTTCCAAGTTTTTTGGGGGGACGAGAAGCAATCTTTTTTTAGAGCCAAGGATTGTAAGATTCCAGGTGATGATGGTGGTGGTGTGTGTGTTGTTGTTGTTTTTAAATAATAGCTGGCATTGCACAATCTTCTAAGCTGTAATGTGGTTTCAGCTGTTTGCGGTTTAGCACAGTGCACGAACTTGCTATTAACTTTAATTTGGCCAACCATGGCTTAGCAGACTGAGCTGAAGGCAAGCTCTATGAAATCTCAACTGCGGTGGACAAGGAGAATCAATCTTTTCCAACTTTCCACCCCGGCAATTCAGTTTCTCTCACTCAAAGTTATCCATAAATCCATGTTTGTGTTTAAAGCAGCGTTTTTCAATCTCACCAAAGGTTAAAACGTGCGGACTTCAACTCCCAGGTGAACATTTGGGTTTTAACCTGGCTGAGGTTGAGCAACATTGGTCAAAAGCCGGGGGGGGGGGGGGGGAGAGAATCAATGCTCCTGTGTGGGATCCACTAGGGGGCACTTGGAACACTTGCAAAAACAATGCTTTCTACATACGTGTGCATGTAGCCTGTTTCTTAAGGCAAGATCAAGGACCTTCTGGGCAAGTTGCAGAAGCTGCCACTGACCACAATGGCTGAAAACTGGATCGCTGGAATAAGCACCGCCCAAAATTAGTGCTGTGTTGAAAAATGACCTGCAGGATGGATTTCATGCTCGACTTGACTCAAAGCCACCTCAGAACTGTCTGATTCCATCCGAAGTCCATCACGTTGAGTCTGAGGCTTCTAACTTCTGCTCTTGAAAACTGGTGGAGGACACACCATTAACCCCCAGCCGGTCAAGTGAATGGTCATCACCTAGTGGTCCCGGGTTCTTACTGCCAATCAGAAGCTCATGAGTTAGGCTACAGCGCTGATTCCTCCACCCCTCTAGCCTTTGTTCTAGTAATTATAGCGCTTAATGACTTTTGGACACCAAGGTAGCATTTTGGTCTCCTTTGAGTGCATATATGTCTATGTCAGCCTTTTCCTAATTTGGCATGTGACAGATCAATTTTTTCGGGGGAAAGTTCCAGATTTTGCAGCTAAGATTTGCAAATCCAGCCCACTGGGGTGCTGGATAGGGAAGGTTGATCAGGCTTTATGATGCAAAGATAGTCCTTGACTTACGACTCAGACCACAGCTGAGCAAAAACTTTCTGTTGCTAAGCAAGACAGTTGCTAAGTGAGCTTTGCCCTCATTTTATGACTTTTCTGGCCACAGTCGTTAAATGAACCACTGTGGTTGTGAAGTTGGTAACACAGTTGTTAAGTCAATCTGGCTTCCCCATTGACTCCCCAAGTGACCTCGGGACGCTGCAACCGTCGTAAAAACATGCCAGTTGCCAAGCATCTGAATTGTGATCACATGACCACAAGGATGCTGCAACGGTCCTAAGTGTGAAACCAGATTCCAAGTCACTTTTTTCAGTGCTGTTAGTAACCTCGGTCACTAAACAAACTGTTGCAAATTGAGGACTACCTGTATATATATATATATATATATTTTTCTTCCGTTTGATCATGTCCAATTCTTGGAGAAGTGTCTGGAGAAATCCCTGCAGTTTTCTTGGCAAAGTGTGTTCCAAAGTTGCCTTTGTGTCCTTTCTAGGGCTGAGAGAAAGTGTCCTTTCTAGGGCTTTGTCCTTTGTGTCCTTTGTGTCCTTTCTAGGGCTGAGAGGAATTGTCCTTTGTGTCCTTTCTAGGGCTGAGAGGAAGTGACCGGCCCAAGATCACCCACTGGCTTTGTGTCTGAAGGCGGGACTAGAACTCACACTCTCCTGATAATTGGCCCAAAGATACCCAGTTGGCTTTGTGTCTAAGGCAGAACTAGAACTCACAGCCTTCCAGTTTCTAGCCTGATGCCTTAACCACCACCTGAAACCTGTATTGACATTATGCAAAACACTATTTCCTGACTTTAAATTTCCTTTGCTAATCAACCTCCTGAGATGATCTCCACATAGAGTACTCGGAT